AGAGATAGATAGAGAAAGACAGAGAGAGAGAGAGAGAGAGAGAGAGAGAGAGAGAGAGGGGGTGGGAAAGAGAGAGCGCGCGCGAGAAAGAGAAAGAGCGAGCCAGACAGAGAGAGTGCGTGAAAGAGAGCGAAAAGGGGCGAGACGCGAGACAGAAAGAAAGAACGAGGGTGAACAGAAATAGAACCATAGTGTGTGGTATAATAGATGGTATAATATGGTGGATACAATAGATTTTGTCGTTTATACGTCTGCATGTCCAGCCTGTTCTGCTAGTATCTATGACAAATACGACATACGCATATACGCTCTCCTATGACACTATTTGTCATAGGAAGAATCTTCCTATGACAAATACGACATACGCATATACGCTCTCCTATGACACTATTTGTCATAGGAAGATTCTTCCTATGACAAAAATTGTTGTATTTGTTGTGCGCGTTTAGGAGCGCTATTATGAACGCAAGCAGTGAATTTCAGCTGTAAAACGGAACGAAGTTGACTCGCCAATATTTCTCATAGGAAGAATCTTCCTATGACAAATAGTGTCATAGGAGAGCGTATATGCGTATGTCGTATTTGTCATAGATGCTAGCAGAACATGTTGGCATGTCGTCGATTAGAGAAACCCACGAGCGTGGAAACCACAAACATGTTTACGATGTTCAATATAACGCGATGATAACATCGATGTCGATCTAGACTTTAGCTAAAAACATCTCTCGGTTTTCTTTTCGCTTAGAACCTGTTTGCTTTTCACAGCTATAGTGGAACGTACACCGCCTATGTAGTACATGTGTTGTTGTCGATACTCACACATAGAAATAGAAATAGGAACAGATGTGAATTAACTGTACTTGTTACTTGACATTGCGGTCCGATAGCTAATTGCACTCAATACATGAACTAAGAATAGAGGAGAGAAAAAGAGAGAGAGAGAGAGAGATAGAGAGAGATAGAGAGAGAGAGAGAGAGAGAGAGAGAGAGAGAGAGAGAGAGAGA